GGGGACTATCACTTTGGGGGACTATTACTTGGGGGGGACTATTACTTGGGGGGGACTATTACTTGGGGGGGGACTATTACTTGGGGGATTATTATTTGGGGGGGACTATTCCTGGGGGGGGGGGACTATTACTTGGGGTAATTATTATTTGGGGGATTATTACTTAGGGGACTATTAAAGATGATTTAAACAAAACACAATCAACAATTAAAGTGTTCTGAGTGAAATAATTTAGTGGGACTGGGATTCGAGCCAGTTTCAGATTGTTTAACTATCGTTCCAATCGATTGAGCTACCTGATCAACAGAAGAATCCTGGCCAGGTATTCTACCTACACTTTAGACTATAATGTCTTATGGTAATATCCAAGCAGAAGTTAGGAGGAGGTATATAGGAAAAACTGCAAAGCAGTGGGTCAGGGCTCTTTGAGAATTGATGACGTAGACCCATAGTAGTAAGCAGTAAGCAATATGCCATGTTATTAAACTTTGGGTTTCAGAAAAGACATTTTCTTTTGTACATTTGAAGATACTTTTCCAATATATATGTTTTTTTTCCCAATGAAATTATCGTTATTTTAAGTATTTCCATTCTGGATTTACATGTGTTTACTTCTGATTGTCTGTTTCTCAGCGAGATGATGCCAGGGGCCGTAACTCCACTGACTCACTCTGTATTTTTGGCAGCAATCCGAAAGGGCACGGAGGTAAGTAGACAATTTCACTAATCAGCTGATAGTCTCAGTTTATCTTGGTTTTAATTTCCCTTTTTATAGTAAAAATATCTAAAATAGTCTGTCCACACTTTTGGTTTAGAGACTATCTCAGAAACCAACAGACTAATCTTTGTGAAGTTTGACATAGTGACACACTGTAATATGTAGATCTAAAATAGGGGTTTAAACAGTGTCAATAAGGTCAAGGTTACTGATGCTAAAATAANGGGGGGGGGGGGTGGTCAGTCAGGCACACCTGTCAGTGTTGTAGTTGAGAATAAAAAAGAATCAAGAGTTATGTGAATTGTATGCTAACTACCTCAGTTTTGCAATTTCAGATACCGGGGGTAACCAGTAAAATATTGCTAATGAAACAAGAAATATCTATAAAAAAAACTAAACAACATTGTTTTCATGTATGAGGTTATAATTCTAAAATTGCTGAATACCTCTATATAGAGACTCTTGAAAAGTTTTTCTATGTGAAATTTTATTTAATCTAATGTTCATAAAAGACATTTACACTTGCAGGTTTTTTGAAGGGGTTAGAAGATGTTGAAATTATTTCCAGTAATGTTGCAGAAAAGTATTCACTTAAGAAATATCATGATAGTTGTTCAACAACCGGCTTCAAAATTAAATACGTACATTTGCTATGCATCCTTCCATTGTAATGTATGAGAAAGCAAATGTTGCAGTGAGACTATAACAACATTTGCCATTGTGATGTCATCAATCTCTATTGTGATGTCATCAATCTCTATTGTGATGTCAACAATCTCTATTGTGATGTCATCAGTTTCATTGTTGTCAACACTTAATTTGCTGTTCAAAAACTGTTGAATTAACTAAATAAAGCATTACTACTCTATATCAAAATGTAAATATAAGCAATGAATATTTTAGCAAATATTGCTATGGTCCTACAACACACATTTCTATTGCTGACAAACTTACATAAAACCCTACCGGGCTTGATTATAAGTTTATCATCAAAAGCAATGTGTGTTATAGTACCATAACAACATTCGCTAAAACATTTATTGCTTAATTAAGTGGTCCAGGGACTGATTCTCCGCCAGTGATGTCTAGGAAATAGAAAAATAATAAATTGCAAATTCCTTTTATATTTATATGAGGGGCAAGCAACTCCTTAGTCAGAAAAATCCCAAACAAAATGGAACTCTTCTTCTTTGGAGATACAACACATGTTATGGGACTCTCAAACTTGAACTGTAAGATCTTAAACTTTGTATATAACTCTTTCCTGTATTAAAGGGTAAGTACTTTAAGTCGGTGAAATTCCCAGCAAATTAAAACTTATCTTGGGATGTACAACACAAAAATGGTGGGACTTTCAATGTAGAGGAATGGAAATTAAAAATGCATGACCAGACTAGAATTTGAACCCAGGACCCCCCAAACTCTAGATGGAAGCTATACCAATTGAGCTTACTGGTCCATCAATCTACCCAGTCCTGTTCGGCTACATTCCTCCCTCTTTGTCCCCAAAGATGTCACTATTTACAACCCAGATTAGAGTCTCCTAGCCAAAAGTACACCCTATGCTTGTAACAAGGGTTCATCACAGGCACAAAATGTCATAGGACGGGGAAAATGGCACAGCCAGACCGGGGTTCAAACCTGGAACCCTCTTAACTCTAGACAGATGCTCTACCGATTGAGCTACCTTGTTGCCGACGATCGCCCCAGTCCAGTTCCGCAACAGAAATATATATCGCAATGGATCCAATAGTAACCTCAAGCTCAACATTATGTTTGAGATATTAGATTTTGTAATAATGGAGTCATTGCTTTGTCTGTGTTACAGTATCTAGCGGAGGTGATGGCCGGTGGACCAAACATACGGTACCATGCCAAGGGGATAATTACCCATTCAAACAGATGTTTCATCAATATGAATGTGAGTACATTGTATATTGCACATAGAAAAAAACTGTTTACATCCCTTTTTAATGACTGTCACATGATGTCAATAAAACAAAACAAAATGTTAAAAATATTAGAATTTATATCAACCCGTCGAAGATTACATTTCTTACCATCATTTTCATGGGGTTGATAAATTGTTGTGTAAACCTTGATAAAGATGAATGATTGTAATATTGTTTAATCTCTCGTGTCATCTGCAGATGGTTGGGTTAATTAGTATCAACAATATCGTCGGGAATCTGGAAGGTGGCCAGCTGAGCATCCTTGGACAGACTGTTGATGGTCTAACTGTTGAGGAGATCAAGCAATATGTAGGGAAAAGAAGGACATTTTGGGACAGACTGAAAATCTTCATCCGCTTCCTCTCAGTGTGTAGAAAATTATGATTTTTTGTTTACTTTTTTCACTCACCAATGTGTCTCTGAGCTAATGGTATGGTGTAGTGTTCTTCATTTTTAGTTCTTTACTTTAAAAAACTTCTTCTTCAGAACTGAAAAAATTAGACTCATGATATTTGGTCAGAAGCTACCTGTGATGGAGTGCTATAAACTTCCTGAAATATAGGAACTTGGCCTACTTTTAAGGTCAAAGGGACAAAAATGACAATTTTCTTAAAGAACGCTACTGTCTATCTAAAAAATCTTAAGGATCCCCGTACCACTGCAAAAAACTGAAACTACACACAGGAAACTATTTTTTCCGAGATGACAGCTTTAATAAACAAAACCATACCTTGAGGAACCTGTATAATAAATAATGAAAATAAAATAAACAAAATATCTAATCAACAACAATGTTCTGCGTGTGAAATATCACTGAGGCTAGACAGGGATTCAAAACCATGGATTTACATTTTTGTAGTATGGCTCTAACTGACAGAGCTACCTGGGTAAGGGAAGTGTCCTGGTACAACTGTGCTACAGTGCTACAGTGATATTGCACATTAAGGGGAAATCACTGTATACGATAAGCTACAGGTCAGTGGGACAGGGATCCTTTAAGTCCAGAGCCAGGATAATTTAGAAACTTTTATGAAAATCAGCCATGCACGTCATTGTACATTGTATTGCATTGAAGTCAAAGGTCAACTTTCAGAACTTTCAGAACTTCCAGGTGTCGAAGGTCAGCGACTGTAATGTGAATAGACATCCATGTGTCGAACCGTCTGGCCCCATTGCATTTTAAGCTCACCTGCCCGAAGGGCAAGTGAGCTTAGGCCATGGCGCAGCTTCCCTTGTCCGTCGATAATAGATATTTCGATCCATGTGCAACATGTGTGTGAAAGTGATGATTTGTTTCTAAAATATCAGTTTGAAGAGCGACCCAGGCGCGGGTCTCTTATTTCCTGCATATTATAGAGGGCCGGAGTTCTGACGTTAATCGACAACAGACCGATATAAAAAAGTCGATAAAACGTCAGAATAATTCGGACTACCTTTGTACCATTGGATGGATTTCATCCAAATTTGGCCCGGAGCATCCTTGGGCAAAGGGGACTAAATGTTGTATAAACAGAGTGTGTGGTCCCTCTGGGTGCACAGTTGCGGGACCCAATTGGGGAATTTGAGGTTTAAATCTTTTCTTCTGTACCATTGGGGGATTTTATGTAATAAGAATTATTTCCCATGGTTGCTGTATAATCCATGTGACAATACAGGCCCTCTGGACCTCTTGTTCTGTTAAAACTCAGTTGTTTTATTATTTTTCATAAAAGTACCATATCATTGGAATATATTTAACCTATGGTCTTGGTGGTGAAAAAGTTTCCAGTTCATAATTAAATATTTTGGTACATGGATTGTTAAATCTATTTAAACTATTCTGACCCTAAAAAGTACCTAAATGAATACAAAAATTGAAGTTTCTCTGTGAATCTTTGTTGAATCAATAAGACCCATAAAGTATGTTTATCAATGTTTACAGATAAAGAACAAAGACATCAAAGATTTTGATGACTGGTACAATGTTGTTGACAACTACAGAATTGGTGCCGATGTTGAGGATGCCCACAGTCTGTACTTAGCGATCAGTGATAAACTACCAGACTACTACAGGGTGAGGAGTGTAAATGAGCAGTGATATTTTGTTCGCATCTTGACAAGGATATCCCACGTCATACCCAGTGCTAGATTTTTCTATCCTTTCCGATCTATCTGGTACCTTTACACAAAATTTCCCGGAATTTTCACATAATGTCTTGTCCTCAGACAAGGATATCCCACGTCACACCCAGTGCTAGATTTTTCTATCCTTTCCAATCTATCTGGCACCTTTACACAACATTTTTGTGGAATTTTCAGACAGTGATGTATTCATCCATGCGCTAATGAGAGTGATACACTCGTACATTTTTCTGTTCTGTTTTGTTGTTTATGTATTGTTTTGATGTTTGTAGATAACTAATATTGTAATTAAAACAGAATCTACCCTGTTGAGTAAGTTTTCTTCCTTTTAAGGATGGACTACATTGTTTATGTGAAAGCATTCAAACATAGCTTTAGTACTGAAGGAGCTGTATTTATTAAAGGCCCTCTGGACAGGACACTGGTAGACTATAAAGAAATATGGTATTTTTTGGAACTAAAAGGTGTAAGAAAAAATCCATTACCGGTAATTGAGCGAGATTGCTTTATCTCTTACCAAGCTTGGCAATTTTTCTCGATAATTAACTGGTGGACACCAAGACCCTTAACTTGATTTTGCTTGTTTATATACTCCATCCTGATTGTCTTGATTTTTTATTTGTAGCTGTGGAAAGGAAACATTGTGAAGAGTTCTATGTCTGGTTTGTGGTCTAACATAGTTTCAGGGATCCTCTCCAAGGGAAAGTCAGGTAAGTAGAGGACACAACAGGACGAAGGTTCTAATCCATGACGCCAAGCTTTATCAAAAGGAAAATCCTGTCAGCAGGGGACAGGGCAATACAAAAAGCAAGCATTCCAACCAACTGTCTGCAATCTCTTCATTTAATGTCTTACAGAAGGCCACTATAGTCAATATATTTACTTTTCCACAGCAAGTTCCTCAATTATGTTCATAGAGCTATGAACATAATTTGATCAGCATCATTTTGAATCTTCCCCTCTCACCCTGAATACCAACCATTAGTTTGGTAATGGTGATAATTCATTTGATAAGGAGAAGTAATTCATTTGATAAAAGCAGTGATTTATATGATAAGGGGAGGTTATTTTCAGGTCACTTGAGACAAAGTCTCACGTGACCTATTCTTATTGCCTTTTGTCTGTCGTCGTGCGTCCGTAAACAATTAACATTTTCGACTTCTTCTCAGTAACCACTTATTCGATTTCAATAAAATTTTGCAGTAACCTTCCTTGGTCAAATATGCACCACAAGTGTTAATTATATGGTTCCCACCCCCAGGGGCTCTGAGGGGCGGGGTTAAAAGTGGTCAAATTGGCTTACATTTAAAATCTTTTTCTCCAGACCCAGATGTGCTGGAAACCAGTACTATTCATAGGTGGAAGGGTCTTGAGGTACTTTATCAAAATTGTGAATTTCATGACCCTCAAGCTTCACGTTTGCCCCTAGGGAGGGGGTGAAATTTACTATAGTTTATATAGGAAAATGCAACTTTTGGGTATATTTTGTTCTTTTTCTACTGGCAATCATTCAAACTTGATTTTACATTACATGTAGTTCAAGTTACCTTTGTTACAAAATGATTTCTTTTTCATCGATAACATCAGTTTTTACATAACTCAGGTGACCGCTAAGGCCCAATGGCCTCTTGTTTTATGAAGCGAAGATTCATTAGATAAAGGGAGATCATTCCTTTGAAAAGAGGAGGTAACTCATTTGGTAAAAGCAATGATTCATTTGACAAGGGGAGGTAATTTATTTTATAAGGGAATTAATGTATTTGTTTATCGTCAACTTTCAGTGTACACCCAAGAAAACATGGCTGACATGGCACTACTGTTGTCTGAATGTGAAGAGGTTTACAGTGCTGAAGTACCGACAGCTATGCAGGTCTGTCACTCGCAAATACTTCTGTTTTACAACTTTGAAGAGATAGTTGCTTTTAGGTTTATTTAATAAATGGCAATATTTGAATGCCCAAGTTGTAATTTTATTTCAGATTTTTTTTTTTTTTTTTTTTGTACAGTAATTGTTTTTGCTGCATAATTTTCGTAAATGGATGAACAATTCATGTGAACTTGACTGATAGTATCTAACTTATAGGTATATACAAAGGACAATTTTTCTTTTAAAAGTGAACCTTTTGTTATTGAAATTGGAAATGCAAATTACCGTTGGGTTGGTGCAGTGGATAGCACACTTGCCTTTCACCAAGGCGGCCGGGGTTCGATTCTCCGATCAGACGTGAAAAGGTATGGGGTTACCTGCCCGACCACATGGGTTTTCTCTGGATAGTCCGGTTTCCTCACACATTAAGACCCCTCGTGCGAAAACATACGGGCCAACAAGAGTGATTAATATAAGTTGAAATAATTTGTTTCATAATTGTTGTAAAACAAATAAAGTTTATATATAATACAAAAACCTTTTGTCATTAATTAATTTCCTAGCGATGTTAGCTCAAATGCTTGTTTGTGTAATACTCAGGAACTTGCTAGAGAGGTATGTGCTGCAGGTATAACGGACAAGTTTCTCGCTGTCACTGATGAAGAATGTGTTCATTTAATGACATCTGAGGAGTTCCCGAAACTGAAACAGAAATTTGATGTATTCCTTTCACGACACGGCCATCGTTATGTGAGAGAGGTGAGCCAATTAATTATAAGCACAGACAGCTGTAGACAATCGGATATTCTACGTAATTTAGTAGCTGTAATTAGTGATTAATACTGATATACTATAGTTTAAATGCCATTTCTACTGATTTGAATTACTTTAATTTACATACTGAAATGATCAGGAATTAGCTTGGTTAACCTGCATTTTAAACATTTACGACCCTAATTGCAGGTATTGGTTTGATATATCACATTGGTGTCAACCTCTGGAACCTCCAATGAGAGAGATCTCGCCTCATACCACATTGAGAGAGATCTCGCCTCATACCACATTGAGAGAGATCTCGCCTCATACCACATTGAGAGAGATCTCGCCTCATACCACATTGAGAGATATCTCGCCTGATACCACATTGAGAGATATCTCGCCTCATACCACATTGAGAGAGATCTCGCCTCATACCACATTTCCAATGAGGGAGAAAGTGCGTGAAACGCAACTGGAACTGTTTTCCTCAACTTATCTTTCCCTTTTTATGTATCAAAATAATTCCAAAAAGTACTAATTTGATTCAGAAACACCTGTTATGATCATTACATACACCCGTCAATAACTAGGAGATGATTTGACCACAGGAAGTAGATTTTGAGTTTGTGTGAGTTTGGACTTGAATGAGGGAGTTTTGAGGGGTTAAATTTTCGTCAAAATGAGGGAATCTTCCTTCTAATGAGGGAGGGTTAACAGTTATGATATCATGTTTTTTATCAATATGCACTAATATGTTATTGTTAAAAGTTCAAATCAAGCCAGTTCCACTTCCTTCTTTTAACTCATCCACCCCTGAAGACACATTTGAACTCTTCTAATTCAAAGGTTGGAAAAGTTCATAATGAAATCTCAGGGGTGAAATTGTAATGTCACAATCCCCAGTCAGTATCACTTTCTTAGGTCAATGTAAATGTTTATCAGTCGTCACATGATGTCAATTAGACCAATCAAGTGTCTGGAAAAAACACAGTAATATGTTAAAATTGCATACTATTTTTGAGAGAGACTCCCAATTTTGGACCCTAAATTGAATGATTTCCACGAGTGAATTTGCTTTAGTATTCCTATATTCTAATATCTATAATGATTTTAATTGAAAGAACAACTTAAAAGATGCCATTTTAAAGTATTTTTCTCTAATATAAAAGTATTTTTCTCTAATATAAAACATACTTTTTATGTTTTAAATTTTGAGCACTAGGAATCTTTGCCATGGATATTCTAAAATGTTGCCAAGTATGAAATTGTCAAAAAGTTTTTCAATGCTACAGGCTGAATTCTTTGAGAGGTCCTGGCGAGCCCAGCCTGAGAGACTGTCATGTGTTTTGAAGGTAAGATTTTAATGTACCTTAAGTGACAACATTTTGATGAATTATTTTCTTTATATTTTAATAAGTCAATGTATTATTTAATATAAGAAAACTTGCATGCAAAAGTTCTATAACTTTGATGTGCTTTAAAGTTTTTGCCCATGAAAAATGTATTAATAATTTAAATATCAGATTCTATCCTGTATCGAAGGTGCTCACAGCAGTATACCTTGCACCTAGCCTTTCTCTGTTAGTAGGGACACTTTTATCAGGACAGCTGATAATAGTACACATACATGTAATTCTATTTTATTTACGGTAATTCCACTGTGGAGGCAAATTATAAATGGAATGATATGAATAAATTACTGTAAACCGGGAAATATTCGCCCAGTCAAACTTTCACTCTGCCCATGAAATCAAATTCGCCCTTCACATTTCATTACTGAGTATGTCATGTTATCTACTTATACTCTCTCTTATAATAGATTTGCCCTCATGATCATCATGGAGGGTGAAAAAGGCAAAATCCAGGAGTTCATTGCAAACATTTTCATTTTTTCACAAACTGATTTAACATGTTTGTGATTGCTTTGCTTACCTTTCAGATTTGTTGTCGTCACATTTACCATGTTAAAATCATCAGTTATAATTTTCTTCTTTATTTCTTTTGGAATGAGACCTGCATGTGGCTTTGGAATTGCGAAAATCATGTCACAGTAATCTGGGAATTTTTATAATTATACCAAAAATTGTGTATTTTTTTTTTATCTAAAAGACTTAAGTATTAAATTGTTATAAACAATACTAATTTAAGGTAATGGATATTTCATTGTTATCTGAACACGAGCTGATCATTTAAATCAGTCAGGGGCATGGATATTTCATTGTTATCTGAACACGAGCTGATCATTTAAATCAGTCAGGGGCATTTCGGAGAAAAAATTTCGGCCCAAAAATTATTCTGAAATATATCCCTGTTAACTCATTCAACCCTGAAATTTCATAATGAACTATTCCAACCTTTGAATTGGAAGAGTTCATATGTGTCTTCAGGGATGAATGAGTTGAAAAGTTTAAAGGAAGTGGGGAACTCATTGGAAAGGGGGTGCAAGTCCTAGTAAGGTGCCATACACCCTTAACTGATCATTGAAACGGTGAATGTACTACAGTACAGATTTTTTGTTTATAGACGATTCTGAGGACAAAGTCCTTTGAGCCGAAGGAGAAGGTGAAAGTGAGCCTGACCGATATATTTGCCGAGATGCAGACTCCCATCTCCTGGACAACCAGGCATGGAATTCATGATTTTGGCATGTTTTGAGAAATAAGTATAATCTGAAATAATTTATTATCAAAATGTTGTTGTTTTTTACTGTTATTCAAATGTTGCATAAAAGAGATTTGAGTGTTATTCAAAAATTTGCCTGAAACATTAACTGTTGAAAACATTTATAACTTTTTCACTGCTTATTTCTAAAAGATTTTTGACTAAATCCATCCTTTTTCGATTTAAAGTCAGTTGCCTGTTGTTTGAAAACAAAGTATGTTAGTATATTTCTACCCATAATGCTCCTGCAACATTAATACTGATTCTAAATATCATCAAACTTCATATGTGTATACATCTTCAGGAATAATAAAGGTCACTGTGACCTATATCTTCTGCTTCACTGACTTTTGATAGACTTTAAGTTAAGCTTCATTGGTTTTGCAATAATTAACAAACAATTGATTTCCAAAGGAAAAAAAAAGAGAAATGATAAAACAATTGTCACTCTCAGTCCCAGTATTTCGGCCTCTTGGCCTCATTTAAGGGCAAAGTCAATGATGAGTATGTCCATCTTGCTTCTTCAGAAGATTAGTAATTTTAAGTTTCCTCCTCTTCCAAAGAAGCAAGATAGACGTAACTTAAATTCATTGTTGATTTTCGCCCTTTAAGAAGGCCAGGAGGCCGAAATGTTTGGACTGAGAGTGACAATTGTTTCATAATTCTTTTGTCTACATAGGTTGGTTAGAATGTCCGTCTAGATTTCGAGGTGAGGCTGTTACATTTTCCTTTCCTGCTTCCGTTCTCATGGTTTTACATATTTTTACAGACAAGTCCTAAAGTGGATGGTACCAAAGGCGAGAAAGGCTGTAGGAAATCGTGAATGGGGCAAGGTAGAAATGAAAATATATTATCATTACCAAATTTATCATAATTTTAACTGTTTATGAGGTCGTATCCTTTAGGAATCCCTCCCGTCCGAAGACACAAATTTACCAATAGAAGACTGTTTCATAAATTTCATATGTAATTATACACTGAAACACAAGATCCGCCATTAATGTGAAATCGTGAATCTGTATTTTTATCCAAAGTGACATCTCGAATTATTTCAGCTGAACTTAAATCACATATTTGCGTTTTGTTTGATGGAATAATGCAACATTTTTTTTAAGTCAAGGAACACAAACAGTATTTTCTGTGCACTTCGGGATACACCAAGGTCAAGGTCAAATCCAGAGGTTAAAAGGTCAAATCCTGTAATGTAAGCCTACCCATCACCTCTAAGCAGCTATATACTTGTTGAAATTTTGAATAACTGAAAACCTATCTTGCTGTTCACATTTGTTCTCTAGTCCTTGGCAGTGAAGGTCAGTGACATCTTTAAGGAAGCGTATTGGCAGTTAGCAGATCTTCTGATGAAGGAGGTAAGATGATTGATTCCCTCACATCTGTACCAATTATTTTTTATACCAGTGTGAATACCTGGAAAATTTCTTTGCATTTTTACTTTTGCCTCCCTCCCCCTCCATCAGGAGGGCAGATTTATCAAGCCAGTGAAAATAAGTACAGTAAAAACTTCGATATAATGCCATCCATTTCATTTGCCACCTCGTTTACCGCCAACATATTTCAATGTCCCTTTTTTCTCGTTTCCTTAAGAATTACTTTATACTTTTCCCTTAGTTTATCACCAAACCCCTTTATAACGCCAAACTTTCTCAGGTCAAATGGTGGCAGTATCACGAGGTTTTACTGTAAACAACATTATATACACTAAAGACAAATGAAGGGCGAAATTAACACTTTGAGAAATTGGATTCTACCGGTGAAGTGTGAAAATTGACGACGAAAGTTCCCTGGTATACAGTAGAATTCATAGAATCCTTGTATGATGAACGGTGTTTACACTTCAGGATTCTTTTAATAAATCATGCTGTTGATTCTAGGATAAGCCTAATAGAGTCTATAATATGTAGGTATGTTAGATAGAGAATTTCCCTCAGAGGGTGTAATATTCGGGTCAGAACTGAGGTTTTGATAGACCCATTTTCTCTCATCTCTTACCAGAGAATTTGGTTAAAAAATTCACAATGACATCAGGTGAGTGCAATATTAGGTGTAGTAGATTTCTTGGTTCCATACAAATCTACCAATAACATATATTATTTGGAAAGCGCAGGAAAAAGGGTGGTATACAGAAGGTAAACTTGAAAACTAAAAGGGATTGGAAAAGCTTCACATCAAATTTGACAGCAGATTGTTTAATATCATGTGAGACAACGCCAGATGCCGTTTTTGCAGTAGATGTTTGTCCACTTACCAAAAGTTGATCTAATGACGTCATGTATCATATCAAAGTGACGTCATGTATCATATCAAAGTGACGTCATGTATCATATCAAAGTGACGTCATGTATCATATCAAAATATTTACATTCTGTATGCTTAGACCCATTGACAAAAATTACATTCATAAATGCATAACACAAGTGTTCATAGAATCTCAGCACGTGGGAACTGATAGTAACCTGATCACACTGCGTAGTTATACACTACAAAAACTACTCACTCGGAACGACCGAACTAGATGCTTAATTCTTACATCTTAAAATATTATTGAACTGTGCTTTGTGAAATATCCACGTATTCACGTGTCCTGTTCTACAAATAAACATTGAATATGGAACTACATTTTGTTGTGTTATTGTTGTTGACGGTTGCTAAGATCTCTCACGATAGTGTCACATTTCCCCGCGAAAAACACTGTTCTCGCCACTGCGTTGCACCCGTGTATAAGCAGGAACAAACCCTGTTTATTTGTTTTATTCGTTGTTATATCGATCCACTGAAAGGATTCGTCAATGTAAATATAAGGAATGATATTTATTTTTTCAACATTTATGAGGTCATAACAACAATGGGTTTTTGGACATATTTTACATGAATCGCTAACGCGATTCATTCAATATGTCCATAAACCCATTGTTGTTATGACCTCATAAATGTTGAAAAAATAAGAATCATTCCTTAAGTGACGTCATGTATCATATCAAAGTGATGTCATGTATCATATCAAAGTGACGTCATGTATCATATCAAAGTGACGTCATGTATCATATCAAAGTGACGTCATGTTTCAGAATGTCAGCTCATATGGTACTGCATGAACATTTTGAATGCAAACATTTTCTCGTAGCTGTTTTTGTGAAATAGAAATTTCTCCCCTGCTCAAATGTGTAGAATAGATACTAAGTGACATTTTTATCCAAAAAATAGTCAAATTCTGAAATGAAAAGTATGACATTATATCTATCTTTTTATTCCTCTGTCAACTTACAGGGTAGACTACCTCAGAAAGAACTGATGTTTTTCCTGACTCACTCAGAAATTGGAAAACTGCTGAAAACTCGCTCACCAAGGCTCATCACAAAGTAGGTGACATACTGTTATTGACTTTAGCGGAGGTTGATATGGTGAGGAATTAACCTTGAACTCTTAACATATGTATACCGTTGTTGAGAGAAATTGTCCAAGCAATCATGACATCCTGTTAGGTTAATATGTTGAAGAAATACGTGTGTTCATCCTTGGCAACTTCCAAATTTTTCATGGGATAGAAAATGTATCCATTAATTCTTAAAATGTCTTAAAAGTATGCAATGACCTCAATGTGACAAAAAAAGTTTAACTTTTATAGTTTAAGCTGTTTTATTCGATAAATAATAATTTAATTTCATCAAAAACAAGATGTGGTTTATTCTGCTTATTGCAATTCAAAATTGGGAAGTACAAAAATGAGTCTCCACTAAAATTTATGAGTTTTCCTTATTGAAAATTATGTTTTGAATCTGTCTCTTTGCGAATTTCATTATTGATGTAATTCCGGTATGAAAAGACATTTTCTAATAAGACATAACTACATGATAACTCAGCTAAGTAAAATTAGAACCAAAGGTGAAAAAACATCTGGTATTCCACGAAGGAGCGTCAGAAAATAGACGTATATTCTGACACAGTATTTTGTGTTCCTAGTACATTGTATCTTTGATGAAGACGATAAAGCAACACTATGGGACCAGCATTGTAAGGTTAATGATATATTGTTTAATTTCTTTTTGACTATTTACTCCTTCACCCCTGAAATTTCTTAATGAAATCTTCCAACCCTTTAAATTGGAAGAGTTCAAATGTGTCTTTAAGGGTGAATGAGTTAAAGAAATTCATTTTCAAGGTATAGACAGAATGAAGTCTATAAAAACACAGTTAATTTGAAAATCTTGTATGCAAGTAGTTTTATCAATGGTGCTTTATTCAGGGCAGTGAGGCGGAGGAAACTTCTTCCTAAAATGATGGACCTCAGCTTCCCTAAGCTTCAAACAGGAGTACCACAACCGGTAAGTGAAAACAATGTTATTAATAATCATCTGCTTATGTATATGACTAGTGTGTTACTCTTGTTTTAGGGTAGGGGAACGTAGGGTAGATTTAGGGGGGGGGGGTAACTGGATGTGGTATGCAAGTACACTCTTGGGATGGCAAAGTTTCAAGTACAAAAAGTAGGTTACTCTGGCCTTTTCTTTGACCTTTGACCTTATTCTTTAAAAAAAGTTTGTCTTTGGCATACTTTCTATACTATTTCACCTAGAGTAACCAGAATAAGTATATGTCTTGGCTGGCAGAGGGCAGGGTACAAGAAGAATATCACTGAGATAGGTGTACAGCTCTAAAAATGCTCATGAAAGAACTATTCCTACAGTTTTTGGCACACATGGGGGCATAAGTCCGCCATTGTAGCGACAGTTCTAGTTGACATCAAAGAATTACTGCACAGAGGTAAAATATGTTCAGTACTTCAAACAACATTATCTAAAGAACAACAAGGTTTTAATTACCTGCTAACATATTTGCACGCTATGTATTCTGTGAATTTTTGACATTATTCCTTGCAGATCATGAAAGAAGAAATTGAAGCTCAAAGAACTGCTCACTTTACTTTGACAGGTAAGTACTGTATTTCCATAGATACCTGACAGAGTTACCAGTAGCCTGTTGAACAGTCATAAAAAACACCACTGAAAAGGTGTTCTACATGAGAAGTTACTATAGAGTCTGTAGATCTGACGTCAAAAATTATCATTGTGATATAATGTTTCATGTCTGTGTTGTTTGTCAGGGATGCCAGTGTTTCAGGGGATAGTGACCGGTACGGGTCGAGTGGTCAAGGACCTGGACCAGGCCAACCATACTATACAGGTGAGCACACCCCTGTCTGATACGTAAAAAACATATTTGACATTATAATAATAATAATAATTCCAGGTTCTTATATACTGCTTTATCATAACCTAGTTTGTAGGTCGTCTCAAAGCAGTTCACAAATTATTATCAGTAGTAATAGGGCCTAAGCAACCAGGCAATATTTTTCTCAACTCCCTTGGGAGCATACAGCTGGTGCTGCAATTTCGGCGCTAACAGCTAGCATTCAACTATTCTAGCAATGCCCAACCACATACTCATTTACAGCTGAGTAGACTGGAACAAGCGGAGTAAAGTATCTTGTTCAAACATCTTGTTCAACACAGTGCTGTGACGTGAATAAATGAAGGGTGTGGCCATCTTGGGAGCTGAGGGGCAGGGTTCAATATGGGGAATAGAGGTAAATCTTTAAAAATCCTCCTCCTTCAATATGGATGTAGGAATTGTTGCAATATCTTGGTCGTATTGTTAACAAACATGATTTTTGTTTCAGCCCGGTGATATCCTGATAGTATCGTACACAGATGTAGGCTGGACGCCATACTTCCCCCTCATTTCTGGTTTGATTGTAGAGCTCGGAGGACTTTTATCTCATGGTGAGTTCAACAGCTTAATTAACCAATGATACATGTTTTTGTTTCTAATTCAATCTCTTCTCTTACTTAGTCTCTATAAGGTCTCCAGCATCAGAGATACAGGGAACAGTCTCTATAAGGTCTCCAGCATCAGAGATACAGGGCACAGTCTCTATAAGGTCTCCAGCATCAGAGATACGGGGCACAGTCTCTATAAGGTCTCCAGCATCAGAGATCCAGGGAACAGTCTCTATAAGGTCTCCAGCATCAGAGATACAGGGCCCAGTCTCTATAAGGTCTCCAGCATCAGAGATACGGGGCACAGTCTCTATAAGGTCTCCAGCATCAGAGATCCAGGGAACAGTCTCTATAAGGTCTCCAGCATCAGAGATACAGGGCCCAGTCTCTATAAGGTCTCCAGCATCAGAGATACAGGGCCCAGTCTCTATAAGGTCTCCAGCATCAGAGATACAGGGCCCAGTCTCTATAAGGTCTCCAGCATCAGAGATACAGGACACAGTCTCTATAAGGTCTCCAGCATTAGAGAGACAGCGCAGAGTCTCTATAAGGTCTCCAGCATTAGAGATACAGATGGTGAGTTCAACAGCTTAATTAACCAATGATACATGTTTTCGTTTCTAATTCAATCTATTCTCTTACTTAGTCTCTATAAGGTCTCCAGCATCAGAGATACAGGGCCCAGTCTCTATAAGGTCTCCAGCATCAGAGATACGGGGCACAGTCTCTATAAGGTCTCCAGCATCAGAGATCCAGGGAACAGTCTCTATAAGGTCTCCAGCATCAGAGATACGGGGCACAGTCTCTATAAGGTCTCCAGCATCAGAGACACAGGGCACAGTCTCTATAAGGTCTCCAGCATCAGAGATACAGGACACAGTCTCTATAAGGTCTCCAGCATTAGAGATCCAGGGCACAGTCTCTATAAGGTCTCCAGCAATAGAGATACAGGGCACAGTCTCTATAAGGTCTCCAGGATTAGAGATACAGGACACAGTCTCTATAAGGTCTCCAGCATTAGAGAGACAGCGCAGAGTCTCTATAAGGTCTCCAGCATTAGAGATACAGGGCACCGTCTCTATCAGGTCACCAGCATCAGAGATACAGGGCACAGTCTCTATAAGGTGTCCAGCATCAGAGATACAGGGCACAGTCTCTATCAGGTCTCCAGCAATAGAGATACAGGGCACAGTCTCTATAAGGTCTCCAGGATTAGAGATACAGGACACAGTCTCTATAAGGTCTCCAGCATTAGAGATACAGATGGTGAGTTCAACAGCTTAATTAACCAATGATACATGTTTTCGTTTCTAATTCAATCTATTCTCTTACTTAGTCTCTATAAGGTCTCCAGCATCAGAGATACAGTGCACAGTCTCTATAAGGTCTCCAGGATTAGAGATACAGGACACAGTCTCTATAAGGTCTCCAGCATTAGAGAGACAGCGCAGAGTCTCTATAAGGTCTCCAGCATTAGAGATACAGATGGTGAGTTCAACAGCTTAATTAACCAATGATACATGTTTTTGTTTCTAATTCAATCTCTTCTCTTACTTAGTCTCTATAAGGTCTCCAGCATCAGAGATACAGGGCCCAGTCTCTATAAGGTCTCCAGCATCAGAGATACGGGGCACAGTCTCTATAAGGTCTCCAGCATCAGAGATCCAGGGCACAGTCTCTATAAGGTCTCCAGCATCAGAGATACAGTGCACAGTCTCTATAAGGTCTCCAGGATTAGAGATACAGGACACAGTCTCTATAAGGTCTCCAGCATTAGAGATCCAGGGCACAGTCTCTATAAGGTCTCCAGCATCAGAGATCCAGGGCACAGTCTCTATAAGGTCTCCAGCATCAGAGATACAGGGCCCAGTCTCTATACGGTCTCCAGCATCAGAGATACAGGGCACAGTCTCTATAAGGTCTCCAGGATTAGAGATACAGGACACAGTCTCTATAAGGTCTCCAGCATTAGAGAGACAGCGCAGAGTCTCTATAAGGTCTCCAGCATTAGAGATACAGGGCACCGTCTCTATCAGGTCACCAGCATCAGAGATACAGGGCACAGTCTCTATAAGGTCTCCAGCATTAGAGATACAGATGGTGAGTTCAACAGCTTAATTAACCAATGATACATGTTTTTGTTTCTAATTCAATCTCTTCTCTTACTTAGTCTCTATAAGGTCTCCAGCATCAGAGATACAGGGCCCAGTCTCTATAAGGTCTCCAGCATCAGAGATACGGGGCACAGTCTCTATAAGGTCTCCAGCATCAGAGACACAGGGCACAGTCTCTATAAGGTCTCCAGCATCAGAGATCCAGGGCACAGTCTCTATAAGGTCTCCAGCATCAGAGATCCAGGGAACAGTCTCTATAAGGTCTCCAGCATCAGAGACACAGGGCACAGTCTCTATAAGGTCTCCAGCATCATAGATACAGGGCACAGTCTCTATAAGATCTCCAGCATCAGAGATACAGGTGCCCTATTATAATCAGTTATTGTGTTCACCCTGGTATAATGGTCAGTTTGTTCTAATTTATTACGACACAGTTCCAGAAATACTCGTACAGAATGTGGCTTTGTGTGTTATTCCAGATCTCCTTGTCTGGGTACCGTTTTTATTTGTAAATTTTATTTGTTGTGTTGTTATTTTTTCGGTGAATAAAACGGAGTTAACCAGTTTTCTGTGTAGGGTAATGTTTCGAATATGAAAGGATCACCGCCCCACAATCACTGCCAGCAAGTTCCTCAAACTATTATCAACTTTGACCCAACACAGTTTCAATTTGTTCGTTGCATCATTTGACTTTTACAATGCCAAGTTGTTTATGGATTGGTTAACAATTCGTACACAATAGGATTATATATATTGAGATTATATATTTAGAGATAAATTAACCATATCTGGTATTGTGACATTTAGCAACGAGACATCATGTTAAATGTATTGCATCATCTTTTATTTTTATTACATGCATCAGAACTGAAAAATCATCTCATAATATTTTCAATAAGATTCAACAGTTTGGAAATATGTGATATCAAAGTTTTACTTTCTACACCAACAATGTACATATTAAACGTGTCGCAACGTTTCAAGACGTACTGGTCCCTTTGTCAAGCTATTGTTCAAGCTTTCCGTCATATCTTGACAAAGCGACCAGTACGTCTTGAAACATTGCAACACGTTTCATATGTACATTGTTTGTGTAGAAAGTAAAACTTTGATATCTCAGCTCATAATAATTTTTAATTTTTAATATTGTATAACATTAATATACTATTTTTGTGTGGGTCATAACTTTGAGAAGTCTCAAAAATGAAAAGCATATATTTATCACCACAGAGGAAAAAACAGTTTTCATTATGGTCATACAACTGTTTTTCCCCTCTTTGAGACTAACTTAAAGGGGACGAAAACAAACATTTTCTGAAAAGGGAATTCTATGGAATTTCTTTGGATATTTGATAAAAGAAAGATTTTTTTTAAACCAAGTAAATAGACATCTTTGATCTTTTCTGATCTGAATCACAGTGTTGTTAAATATCTTGTTGCTATGCAGGTGCTGTGGTTGCTAGGGAGTATGGTCTACCCTGTATTGTTAATGTACCCAACGCCACCCAGCTATTTCAGTCAGGTAAGTTTGTAACAAAATTAATCGTATTTGATTTTACTAAAAGATAAAATTGGATCTGAAATACAGGACATGTTTAAGTGTTGCATATCACTTACCGTACCCTTTTTGCATAGGTTTGTAAAATGTGCAAGACTTGGTATATATTTTAGCAAGAAATGTTGAAAGAAAAAAAAAAGATTAACACAGGGTACTCTTAACTTGTATGCACATGTGCAATTTCAACTTCCATATGTTCATCATACTGTCACTCTGGTTTCTGATGTCAGTAATGTCCCGTTTATGGTATTCTTGTTCCTTTCTTGATAAATTGGAACCAGGTATATTCCAGTACTATTCATTGAAAGAATAAAAACAAAAGTTAGTAAATTTTTGTAAAATGGACAATTTTGACAATTGCTGTCTTTTGTCAGAGCCGTTTCAGATCCTTTTTGCATGTGTCACATGACAAATACAGACTGCAAGCTTGGCTATTTTTGAATTGGCTGAATATAGTGTCTATACAAAGTACGAGTGAGCAGCATAATATGTAGGCCACAGTGGTTAAGGTGTCTGACCATCAATAATCACAAGCCCTCCACCACTGGGTCAAGGGTTCGAGGCCTACATGGGGTAGTTGCTAGAGGTACTGGCCAGAGGTCAGTGGTTTTTCTCTGGGAACTCTGATTTTCCTCCAGCATCAAAACCTGGCACATCCTAAAATGACCATAGCTGTTCATAGGACGTAAAACACAAACAAACTAAACTAATTAATCATGCTTATCGTCTGCATGAAAACTATTGAAACAGTTATTTGATGTCTATAAAAAAAGATATATATTTAAATAACAATTCACTCAATATTCAAATAGGTAACATACTGCACACAAATGTTACTCAGTTAACTGTATTACACAAAGCTATCAAAAGTTGCATGTTTCTACCAGACAATAAACATAGCGGGGGTATAGTAATGGGGTCCGTGCGTGCATCTGTCCTGTGATGCACCTGGTTTAGAAGAATTGCGCTCATCTATATCTTGCCTACTACAAGTGCTATGTTGATTATACTTGCATCAATGGTGTATCTAGGGTTGTTGATCTACTGAATGTATATTGCAGATGCTGATTTTGACCTATATTTTACGCTTCATTGACTTGGTTAAGAAGATATGCTCTTATCTTCATGTGAGGTTCAGAAGAATTGATCTCATCTATATCTTGCCTTCTACAAGTGCTATGTTGATTATACTTGCATCAATGGTGTATCTAGGGTTGCTCTACTGAATGCATATTTTACGCTTCATTTTTTTAATGAATTTTGCGAGTGGGGGATAGCGATGACAGCGTCTTCTTTTCTTTATCAAAAATACTTCTTGCTTACAGTTTATCAATTTTCCCATTACAGGAGACATTGTCAGGCTAAACGGCAAGGCTGGTACAATAGAAAAACTTGAAAACCAGGAAAAGACGAAAACAGAGAAACTGGAATGAAAGGAAACACCAGATACATTCCAATCAATGAAGCTTTAATAACAAATTTGGATAGATCATATTTGCTTGATGATATTTTTGATAATTGTGATCACTGATTAATAGTACATATACACATTTATTGCATTTAATACTTTTGTCCGACAAAATTCACAATTTTGTGGGTAATTTTTACATGTGAAAATGTGACTAATGGTATACTTTTAAACCCTGAAATAGAATTAAATAATTAAGTCATTTTAAGCTTATTTTGCACTGAACTTACTTTCTGATCTGCTAAAATCTCATAGTGTGGCATTTGTATTAAGCAGAATTTCACAAGTCCTTCTGCATTTTATAACTGTTGCAGGGCGTCCTAGAAAAATGCAAATAAAAGTTATGGCAAATTTTCAAAATATATTATTTTCATAAGAAATATTTCATTTGAGGATGTATGTCTGTGTGTATTGAACGTACCAGCCAATTTACTCTTCAAATGATATATGGCTTGTTAAATTCTGTTGAACTTCACCCAAAAAAGTAATTTACGCAATGCCAATTTCTTTTACGGGTATTGCATTGTACTTAAATATAACGTATGCCATATTGAAATATATTTGTCATTTTTCAGGACCATTGTAGATGTGTATCAACAGATACTGTGTGCCTCTTTATGGTTATTCGTTCCTCAAATATACTTTGAAGCAGCTTCATCATATTTATTTTAAGAAATCCTAAAATGTATTGAGTTGTACCATACATACTAGAGCTTTAACTGTTTATTTCTCTCGTCAATTATTTATTATATGGCCTAACTCTTCAACATGTATGTGAATGCATCAAGCCCTAGTATCGTGCACAAACGTACTTCACCCTGAGGACATCCTTATGGTGACTGTACTTCAAGTCATTTATTCCGAGGCTGTAGTGGCCGAGTGGTTAGGTTTCTGACCACCTAAGATCACTAGCCCTCCACCACTGGGCCACAGGTTTGAGGCCTGTGTGGGGCAGTCATCAGGTACTTGCTGCAGGTTGGTGGTTTTTCTCTGGGTTCTCCGTCCTTCCTCCACCACCAAAACCTGGCATGTTCTTTCATGACCGTAGCCGTTAATAGGATGTAAAACACAAACAAACCAAACCAAACCAATTTATTTATTGCTTAACACCTTTTAATTCTTCTGGATTTATGTTTAACCTGCACGATTGTACAGTGTAGTGTATTATTTTGGAATTATGGCCATTATCAACCAAGGCCAACTGATTTTGGGGGAGGGGGGCAAATTGAAACTTAGGTGCTGGGATGAGGGCCTGGATGGGGCAGTCTGCAGGCAAAATTATCTTAATAATAGCAACTGTCCCTCTTGGCACCCTCTCCCTACGCAGGCTACAGCCATGCCCAATAACATTCAGTTGTTCTGCTTCTTACCGCTGAGATTTGGACTAAATGATGCCATAAAATCTCAAGAATTTCACATTTAGATATCTCTAGATATTACGACCATCCTAGTATGGTATTCCATGTGTACTGGAGAAGTTAACCTCAGTGGTCAATATTTCAAATATTTGAGGCCAATCTCAAAATATTCTGTTAGTCATTGATTGACCTGCCACTTTTAAGTTTGAGTTGTTAGGTAGAAAAAAATTGTTCCTACAATAAAAACATGGACCGCTCAAAGGTATTTAAGAAAGCAATAATGTCTTTAGTATAAAACACTAATAACAAAGTATCAAAGTTAAATTTCATTTTTAGCTCGGCTGTTAAACAAACAGAGAACCAAAGCGTGAAAATGTTAAAGTTTTACCTGCAAGTTATTTGGAAGCTTGTCATTCATTAAATATGTGTACTAGGATGCTATATTTGGCATTGAGGTTTCTGTGGGGTATAATATTGATGTAGTGTAATTTCACACAATTTTTGACTTTTTTTGCCCTTTTTTTTTACTTAACCTTTTTTGTAGCACATCAATTTTTAAAGTTATTTCGAAACTTGTCATTCATTCAAAAAGAGTACAAGGATGCTGATATTTGTCATGAAGGTTCCTTTGGGCTATACTTTTGATGTAGCAAAGGCACAATTTAAAAAAAAAAAAAAAAAAAAAAAAAAATCTGACTTTTGTTCTTTACATTTTAAGAGCATATTAGCATTACAATTTTTTTTTTCTTATGTTTTTATCTACCCATATATCATTTACTGATGGCAATATCATATTTATAGAAAAATATATTGATTAAATATTATTTGGGTCAGACTTACTGCAATGGTTTATAAAAAATAAGACCAGTGTAATGGTATATTTTTGAGTGGTCGGGAAAGGTTAATTAGATGTCTTTCAAAATTGACAAATGTATAAACAGGCTTCTTTGAGGTATATAATTGATTTTGTGAATTTTTAATCAAATTTTTATTTTCTTGGACTATTTTGTACTTTTTTTATATTTCAGTGAGACAGCTCTATAAAGTCACCATAAGTCTACCTGTCGCAAGCAGACACCGTCTCAATATGACTTAAACATGAGTTAAAGGGACGCTAAACCCCAATAAACAAACACATTTTTAAAGACAATACATTTTTAAACATATGTGGCTTTTACAATCTCTGGTTTATACCTATTCTCTTAGTTTTAATTATAATTTTGCGCGTGTACAAACATTTTTTGTGTTGCAACATAAAGCTTCAATCATTCGGTCTTCGCCAAACAAATTAACTGAATTTTATTTTTGGCCCGATATGTGTTTAAAGCATAGTTTTGATGAGGAAATCTGCAACCATCATTAGGCTAGTACACCAGATTTACTGGAGGATTATTTGCCTTCAGGTAGAGGTCCCAATGCCAAAAGAGGCTACTCGGTGTTCCTTTTTAAAATCTTGCATTTATTAACAATTGAATATTTCATGTGTCACAACGTAGTCAGTCTTCAGAGCCAAATAATTTTTTGTATGATGTGTCATTTTTTGTTTAACGCCCCCGCTAGGAGTTGAACCCGGGACATCTGGTCTTCTAGTCTTACGCTCTACCGAATGACGTACTTGGCGGAAATTCTCCTTAGCCGAGTTGGTAGGAAGTGGCTAGTGTTTTACCAGGATGGCATACTCCCCCTTTAGGAAAGATTTGTCTCAATGTTTCCAAGGTCATAGCGAGAATATTGCTGTGTGAATTTGTCAATATTACCCAGGTTCCTACGTGGGTGCCAATGTTACAGAGGTCATTACTCATTATATTTTCATTACCTCTGCTAAGAGTCGAACCTAAGGACCTCTGTCTTCCAGTCTTACCGAATGAGCTGTAGTGAAATTCTCCCTAGCTTAGTCGGGAAGGAGTGGCTAGTGTAGGCATTTAACTTGTTATTTCTTATTGAACAGTGATCCTGAATTTCCAGTTTCTCATTGGACAGTGGAAGATGTCTAGCCCCTTTATCTACGTCTTGTTTTGAGAAATAAGTAATTTCTTTTCTTGATGAACATACCACCACCACCACCGTTTTTGTACTGGTTGTTACTTCCCTTGGGAGAGTTTCTTTGTTTGAAAAAAAATGTCTCAATGGTTGGAATGAGTTTTGTGAGCAGACATTTTTGCCGTTTTTAAAATGTTATCATCAGGGAGAAAAAATGTGTGACAACAATGAATTTCATAATTGCCAACTGTCCCTATTTTGGAGGGAGACTCGCAATTTTGGACCCTAAAATTGAGCATTTTCAACCTGGAAATTTACTAATCTATTCCTATTTTTGAAGGTCTGATGATTTCATTTGAAAGAATAGCTCAAAGATGACATTTAAAAGTCTTATTTCCCCCTAGGGTGTACATATATACACATTTTATTTAGGATTTTAATTCTTTATTTATTTTGATTATCCTATTATCACTAATATAAATACATATACTCCTGAAGAGGTGTTTTTTTTGAAAATTTCTATGATTTTTCTGTACACTGTTTTTCCTCTCTTAATATCAGGGTATAAAATGTCAAATTGTAGTGTTATTTACCAGCAAGATGATTTATAAATTGGAAATATGTGTCTGATGATAAAATGTTTACATTTTCGTTTCATTAATAACATGTTGTATAAATATACAGGTCTTTCGGAAAGGAGATGCATTATATAACAATATACATAAACATTTGTATAGCTTAAACGACCTAGAAAGACGTTTTCTAAGATTGTGGTTTTGGTGCTCAAATACTCAGTATTACTAGAATTTTATTACTGTACTATGTAGTTCCATGTTTAATGAAATTCTTTGTCCTTTCTTTTAATGATTTCCCAAATGAAAACCTCATCAATTTTATTTGAGGATTTAAGACATTTTTTTCTCTAAAATCATCGCGATATGTCGGCAGGAAGGAGTGAACTAAACAAGAAATGTCCATAAAATTCACCAATATGAATATGATCATCCTCTTCATCCTAACATGGGAATAATTTATGTTTTTGTATTGGAAATGAAACCCGAGTCTTATTGCCCAACAAGCCGGATTGAAATGTCTTGCATGTGTCCCACTTTGACCAGCAATGCACATATCAGAGTAGAAACTAACATGCATGGGTTAAGATGTGCTACCTAAGAATGCATCTATGGTCCAAGTCTGGTTGATCTAGCACTTGTACTTTCAGTGAAACTAACTTAAACACAAAAACTAAATGTTGACGCTGTCGCCGGAAAAGCAGCACCTAAGTCTCGCTATCGATACTTCGTGGCGGCGAGACAAAAATAAAATAACCAGGAAGTAATAACATCTGCATGTAAGAATGTTGGAATATGGAACGATAATGACCAAAATAAAATGTGAAAGAGTTGTCGGTTTTATTAGTCAACATACCCTTGAATCCATCATTTATGCATTCCACTAAAATACATGCACGAAAAGCTGCTTATTATTAATTCTATTCTACAAAGTCAAGTTTATTTCTATTTTTGCTGTTCTACCATCTGTGCGATTTGTCAAATCAAACCTGAAACTTACACACTATTAGCCGTATTGTTATGTTTGATAATTTTGATTTGTTGCTAATTACAGTGTGTTGGTTCGTTACAAGCTACAATTTATGTAATAAGTGCCAATCAAATATGTATGTAGACACTAACATTCATGGTGAAATAAGGAATAAAGTTAGTGATGTATGTATATTTGTCTCTGTTGTTTATCAGCATGTATCACTAGGATTTTAGTCATGCTGGCTGTAGACTGTATTTCAACATTGGAATCAATCCAGCATCAATGAAATTCGGAACTTTCCTTAAAAACCACCAATGAAATCTAACTCAAAATTAAAGTAATAACACGGAAAAGAAAAAAAGAAAAGCAAAAATCTGTTTTACTCAATCAGCATTAATTAACCGATGGAGATGATGTAAATCAATCTTTAATTTCTGTATCCATGCATAGAAAGATCCCTGCCCTGGTAGAGCTAATAAAAGTTTTCAGATTCCGGGGAAATGTACTGATAATTGTACTAATTTTAGGTTAGTCAAGTAAAATTTGAAAATATTGCTCGATACCAAAGATCAGCATGCAGTTACCTGTCTAGAACTTTTCCCCAGATCAGCAGTTACCTGTCTAGAACTTTTCCCCAGATCAGCAGTTACCTGTCTAGAACTTTTCCCCAGATCAGCAGTTACCTGTCTAGAACTTTTCCCCAGATCAGCAGTTACCTGTCTAGAACTTTTCCCCAGATCAGCAGTTACCTGTCTAGAACTTTTCCCCAGATCAGCAGTTACCTGTCTAGAACTTTTCCCCAGATCAGCAGTTACCTGTCTAGAACTTTTCCCCAGATCAGCAGTTACCTGTCTAGAACTTTTCCCCAGATCAGCAGTTACCTGTCTAGAACTTTTCCCCAGATCAGCAGTTACCTGTCTAGAACTTTTCCCTATTGACATATTTAAGTTAAAGGGTACCACTACATCAGCTATAATGGTAAGAAGAGTTCCACTCCGACTTTTTTTAGACTTGGGAGTATTCTTCCTTCTATTTAGAAGATTAGTGTTATATTCATGTTTCCCGGTTGAAATGGTTCAGGTGGTGCAGAAATATTCCATGATAAACGAACACACTTGGACCGTACTGTAGGCAGTGCTAAAATAAAATGCACAGTTTCGGAGAATGAATAATAATAACAAGAATATTATGTCATCCTTTCATGTGTCCACTAAATTATATAACGTATAATCTACATGTGGCTTGGCCTTGTTTTGTAAAGAAATAACACAAACTAGCAATAGTCAGCATTTTAGTTTCAGTCAGGCATGTCTGGACCCCTCAATCTACATGTGCTGAATATTCCTGAAATCAGCCTCAGGTCAGATCTGTGCCTGTCATTTTCTTTCAGGTTTAAACATTTCATCTGGTTGAATAACTTCCCCCATCAAGTTTTTCATGGGCTTCGCGTGCTACTGGTCAAACATCAGATTCAAGAGGGATCCCTGCGCCCACCATCGTACCATCTTCATGAGTGCAATGTAGGATTTCTCTTTTCTCTTAACTTTTATCTGGATTGAGTCATGTAAACTGCAGTAAGTGCACCTTTTGATAAGTTTTGATCAAAACTTCATACTGCTGTGTATAACATTGTTCTTTCAAAATGAGGTTCTTGTTTGACCTATTTACCAGCATGGTGCGTAGGGGAACACACATTTAGAATTTGAGATAGATCTGTCCAGTACTTCTAAGGAAATAGAATTTACAAACTTGAAGCGTCGAAATCCAAGATGGCTACCTGGTGACCATTTTGTTTTTCTGATCAGCCTCAAAATGAAACGTGCACAACAAAGAATATATGAAAATCAACAGATGAAACTTAAATAGTGTAACAGATCTGTCATGTACTTGTCATAATTCAGTATGGCTGTTTGGGGGCCATCCTGTTTTTTCTGACCAGTCCCAAAAATCAACATGTATAAAAAAGGGTCATGGGGAACCTACATTTGATATTTGAAAAAGATCCCTCCAGTACTATCCAGGAAAGAGTGCAAACAAACTTAAAACTCTTACAAATCAAGATGGCTGCCTGTCCGCCACAAATTTCATAATGCATCACCATGCAGGTACCATGGTGAAATAATTGTTCAGATACCAATAAAGATACAAAGTAACTACACACAATTGAAATCCTTATTTACTCTTTTAATCACAGATTGACTTTACAGAAATGATTGATACTGATCCAATAATCAGGTTTTACATTTGAACCTGTAGCAACAGACACACATTTCTCCTGCAATACTTAAACAAGAGGCCCTAGGGCCTTAGCGGTCACCTGAGTTATATCATAGGTACTGGTAGCTTTATTTTATTGTTTAGATGTGATGTGGAAATCAGCATGTGAAATACAATACTTGTCATGTCATCAAAGGATAAGAATTTGAAAATATTGGTAAATGTTCCCTTTGGGGCCCCGCCCTAGCCTCTGGGGATCGGGCAGGTATCCTGATTTTACAATGTAATACCCTCATTCACCAAAGATGATTCTGACTAAGTTTGAGTAATTTTCTGCTGAAAATGGATAAAATATACCTAATAGTGTTATTTCCCTATAAAAATTATAGTAAACTTTACCCCCTCCCCAAGGGAGAACGGATAGCTCGGGGGTCCTGAAATTTACAATTTAAATAAAGCCCCTGATGATCTTTCTTTTTATGCACTGAAACTGAATGCAGTACCTCGGAGTCTGGAGAAGAAGATTTTTGAAATATTAGTTAATTTTCCCTTTGGGGCCCCGCCCTGGCCCCAGGGGTTGGGGTAGGGATCCCAATTTTACAATTTTGTCATCTACCAAGGATGATTCTGACCAAGTTGGAAAAAAATCCATCGACTGGTTCTTGAGAAGAAGTTGGAAGTAAAAAGTTTACGCACGACAGACGGAAAGCGAATAGAATAGGTATGTCACTTGAGCAAAGCTCAGGTGACCTAAAAATGGAAATGTTCTTGTTTGCAATAGTTCTGAAATCAACATCTTTTATTGATCTATAAATTAATATTTCTGTGTGGATATTTATACTTTGAAAAATGTGAATATTCCCACACCGCGACAAATTTCCACTTTAAAAGGATTTTAGAAGGCATCTAAAATCTAAAAAAAAATCTGGTACTGCACGTTTACTTCTCACTGAAATGTGCTATTTCAGTCGTAACTATATTTATCATCAGCTTTCCCAAAGAGATAAAACTGACCACACTGGACGTTGGCTTCAGGTCATGTCATTATCATCATTATCAACTACGTAAAGTTTCGTTAGGAGATATCAAGATTTTCAGTTTCTAATCAATTTTAGGAGTTTAAAGCAGCATGTAAACTTTTCCCATTTTACCCAACTTTTGTCCATCAGTTCAGGAAAAGAAGTTGTAAACATCAAATATTATTTTTCATCGTAATTCACTCACGTCTATTGGTTGAAATTAGCACATGTGATGCACTGCAAAGCTTCAATGACATTGTAAACCTGGTGTTCCTATATATAGATTTTGGGTTGGAACATCTCGCCTTCCATTCTCTGAACACCTCTGGTTTTGCACTTTGTTGTCACAAAAAGTCGTTTAGCATGCTATAATAATATTGTAAACCTGATGTTCCTTTGACTCACTTTCAGCCAATGCAGATGCCAATTTTACTGTAAATTTTGTTTTTCCAAAGTAAATTCATTGTGTTGTTTACAGGATGTTGTTAATGTTCCATGTATGAAATTTGAAAATAAAATTCAGCTTTCTGTTTGAAATAGCTTTTTTTCGACCATAAAATAAAAAAATAAAAAATAAAGCAATTGTAGCATGTTGCTTTTTTTGTTTTCGGTTGATATTGTTTTCTTTTGTCAATATAACCATGTATCGACCTCATCAACATGCTATAATTGTATGTTTCAAAAGTCTACATAGTTGATAATGACATAACATGAAGCCAATGTTGCGTGTGGTCAGTTCTATCTTTTGGAAAGCTGGTAATAAATATGTATGTATATACTGCGGTAGCTACGACCGAAAAAATGCAATATATCTGGGAGTTTCAGTGAGACCAGGTGCACAGCACTACACTGTCGACAGACAATAAGGTGTCAGCCAGTCTGATTTCACACAAAACACATTCTTGTCGCTCTAAAAAAGCTTGCTTCGCTAAATTGTCCCTTTAACGTTTGTCTGCTGTTTCATTACTTTTAGATGAATATTCTTGGACAGAAGATAAACACTATTGATAAACAAATCCCATCATAAATGTCTTAGGTTTGCACTGAAGCCATCCTTGTAACATTCTGAAGGGAAGAAACAGAAAGAAACATCTCAAGTATTTAATCATTGAAAATAAACACAAGATTTCAATATATTTAAACCTCATTTAAAGCTTCTGAATTTAGTTGTTTGACCAATTTGTCTCTCTGCTGCGTGAGAGGAAGATGAGGAAATCGATAATTCGGATAGATCTCATTTCCATCCTTGCTATAGAGTTCTTCACCCTGTGATCCTAGAAGAGTCCGGAGACTTAAATTTTTCTGTATCAATTTTTCGTAGAATTCTATTCCACCTTTGGTTAATCCTTTATCAACAAGATCTTGGTCAACGGTTTCATCCCGTTTCTTGAGATAGAAATCCATACTGGCCTTGAACCAATCTAGACTGACCTTGTACGCAACAACATGAGCAAGCACAACAATTTGTAACACGCGACCTGGTTTCATGGCAAATTTCGCCTGCAAAATTGTTTGTGCAAAATACCCGAAAATACCACCCATGCCTAGTGAAACAACACCCATCCCTACCGCAACATTCTGGTGATGGGAATTCAAATATCCAATTTCACGCAAATATGCAAATGCCTTCGCTTGATCACTTAATATCAGTGATTCTTTAAGAGCATCCATTGCTTGGCTATTTTCTTCGATCTTCACAACATCACAATCTGAATGTTTTGTGGTAATGACGTCGTGTATAGATGACTTGGGTAGAGCGTACACGTAATCCATAAACATCACCATCCATGTCGTTAAGTCAGACGTGGTCTTACTACGCAGGGCTATGTCCACTGATTCAATGTCTTCACTAGTTGAATATCGCCAACAGTAAGGTATGCCTACAACACCTCCAAATCTGTTTTTTAAGGAGCCCAAACTCACTGCTTCAGAACCGACTGTTACAAACAAAGGTTCCAATAGTGATTCTACGTTGCCAGGAGCTTTGCACGATTTTATCTTCTCATCAAGAATCTAAAACAAATCAAAACAAAAATAACTGTGAAGCAAAACTTCAAAATCAATTCAACAAGAGGCACAGAGGGCCTCTATCACTCACCTGGATATTTATTCAATCATGATAAAATATTTTTATTGAAGGTAGTATGGCAAATAATACCCCAAGGCTAGTCCCCTGAGCCAATCCTGGCACTGTATCTGTAATCTGTGAGAAAGGATGGGAGCAAATCCCAAAGACGATTCTGACAGCATGATTGAGACACATTTGAACTCTTCCAAATCGATGGTTGGAATAGTTCATCATTAAATTTCGGGGATGAATGAGTTAAAACCAAATTTTTACTAATCCGCCTTTTAACATGAATTTGTTTTAGTTCATATGTAAATAAAAAATATCCAAGGGGGACCGAGGCCCATATCATCCTGGAGGCAATCTTGGTATTCTGACTAGTGTCATAATGAAACATTCACAATCACAGACCACAGGAACCCTTCCTTTGATATATGACAAAGATCTGACAAGCATTTCTTGAGAGAAAATGATAACAAACTAGAACTGTTGAAATTCAAGATGGTTGTCTGGCAGCTATCTTGTTTTTTTCCGATAAGTCTCAAAACGAAACATGCACAGTCAAAGACCAAGGGGAATCTTCATGTGATATTTGACAAAGACGTGTCAAATACTTCTTTAGAGATAGTGATGATAATCTTAAACTATCAAATCCAAGATGGCTGCCTGGCTGAAGTATTTAAGGATGGACGCCAGGCAAGGGCAATTTCATCATCATAATGGTGGCCAAAAATAGGTACCAGTAATTTAATTTCAAAATTTGTGACAAGAATTTTCTTTCTTTTCCATATTTTCTTTTAATCAAGTCATATTATAAGATTCAAATATTGTGGAGGAAAGAAAGTGTCATATAACCATCATAATATTTCTCATTGTATTCACAGGCGCCTTGTGATATGAGTCCTCATAAGACTCTTATCACACATCAGATTTCAAAAGATTTTGTTGAAGGTTCTGTTGTCTTCTTATTTACCTGCCTGTGATTTACTTAAAGATCCCTGAGCCACTTTACTTAGGTTTTCATGTTTACAGTCAGAGATTTTTTCTGCTAGTTTTACAGTCGAATACAGGTTGTCTCCCATAGCAAAACAAGAGTACCGCGGGACGGAACAATATACGCCTGTCGAATGCCATATAGTGTTATATACTTTTTTACATTGAAATAAGATATGCATCATTCTAAGAGCGGTTAGCTGACATGCTATAAACAATGTAGGAGAAAATCTCCGGACAAAAAATCAAATACTGAAATGAACAAAGCGCAATAACGTTTGGAAAAATTGTTGAATCAAAATTCTTTTAAGGGAGACAAAACTTCATATCATGATTATAATGTATGCCAAGTTTCAAAGAGAACGATCGATAAAATTTAGGAGGAGATTGACGGATAAACAAAAGTTTACGCCGCCTGGCCATCGCCATACCATAATTATCCTGTCAAATTTGACAGGCGCATAAGAAGAGCCTTATTTTACCAAAATCACCAAAACAATTATATCTTCCCAGTTTCAGTAAAAAAATTGCTTTATTTTCCCAATTCATGAAGGACCAGGCTATTGTAAGATTTAGGTTAAAAAAACACTGACAGTAACCTCCCCTTTTTTTATTTTGGATATACCGTTAACCATAGCACAGGTGGGTTAGATCACTTCCTGGTTCAAATCCCAGTCTAGTACTACTGATTTTTATTTTCTCAGTCGGAACACTGCTGTTGATATTGTTTGGTTCATTTCATCTTTCTTTTTTATAAAAGTCCTGCAAGATATGGTTTTCTTTTCAAAAGTTATTTATCAAAGCTGTCATACATGTGATTGTTTTACTTATAATTATCTCCCCCCCCCCCCCCCCATATTTATAGGGAAAAAGAACAATAACACAATTGTATACATTATTTTATAAAGTGCCCTATCTAGCTAGAATAAGCCAATCTAAAGCGCTTTACAGTACATCGATATACAATTTACACAATCAATACAATTAGCGTATATACATTAATCAATTTAAATCAATTTTGAGGAATTTGCAGGAGATGTCTTATCATGCGCTATCTACTAGTCCTATGCCACCTGGCTAATGTCTCCCTATTTGTGTATGCCTGCATGTGTGCTGGAGATGTAATGTGTTTTGTTTGTAGTGGGACTGTGCTTCCAACGGTATCATTTAGAGTGCCACCTCACTTGAATGCTACACCACAAATATCGCACATTCACCCCAGACCAATTTATATCAAACAAACTTGATATGATAGAGATATCAGCTAAAGCAATACCAATATTAATCTATTATCTAACAAATAGGATAGTTGTTATACTAATCATATAAGTTGAAAAGTATTTCTTACATAAATTTTCACAATATTGTTATAATAAGTAACTGGTTACTGGAAAAACAATTAGCATACTGTTCTTTTTAATCATAAATATATTTCAAAGTCTTTTTATTGTGCTGCTGATTTTGAGCTTAGTTTCATTTAGTACTACATGTAACATGGCCGGGGAATTCGTTAAACAGGTATTCTTTAAAACTATCAAGACAAAAATATTGCTAAAAATTCTTGATGGTATATATAATTCCCTTGATTCTGTGATCTTGTTTCTACATCTGCATCAGGAATATGTGTTAAACTTCAGCTACAATGTCAACCTGAACGGTGATCTTAAAAATCTCTTACAAGTACTGAATCCAGACAGGTGTGTGTTTGATTGATGTCTGGGTTTCTTGTGCATTTGAACCGGTACCATCACCAATGAAATAACAAAGCATTTTAAACACCTAGATTATATTAATGTAACAAACGAGCACTTACTGCTGGTCAGTTATACTTGCTCATTTGTTTTGCCAATTACTTGTGTAGGTGACTCAGTGGAGACAAAAATTGCTTGACAGCATTAAAAATTCTAATTAATTGAAAATTTAAAGTTTGGAGAGACAAATTAAGGGAGTGATGGAAATTTTGTATGATAGTCAGATCAAAGTCGGAAATTTCCATGACAAAGCGTGAGAAATAGGAGATCACAGTTTTGATGCTAAAAACATGGGAGACTCCCGGTCATATTGGGAGACATCAAATGAGCTGTAGCCATGTCACAGTAGGTAAAGTCAGTGCCCAGTGTTTAGTTACTGTTTCTGGCAATGGTACAGATATTCTTAATAATATACAAACCTCCTCTGACATGGACAGTGATTTCTTGTCAACCTCTACAGGAATATTTTCCTTGTGGAGTGTAATTTCTGGCTGTCGTTTTTGATAAGCTAAAAGTGAAGCATATCCAATGCCTAACCAGGCACTACCAAAAATAGCATGTATAACGTCTGAATTCCTTTTCCAAAACTGTAAAATTCTGGCAGCCATCTGGAAAAAAACCAGGAAAATATGTTACTTTTTTTTAGAATTGTATCAAAGATATTCAAACATTTGCTAGTGAAACTGGAGAAAGAGAAAATGTAATGGCCAGAGCGGGGTTCAAACCCAGGTCCCTCCAAACCATAGTGGCAGACTCACTACTAATTGAGCTACCTGGTTGCTGACGATCGACACAGTCCAGTTCCACTACATTCCTCCCTCTTTTTTCTAAGCTTTTGCCACCAAAGACACAACTATTTACAGCCCAAGTTCATGTATCCCTTGCTTAGCGTACTCCCAATGCTTGAAACAAATTTTGTAACAGGAGAAAGAGAAAAAGTAAGACTTCCAGGGGTTCGAACCCAGGACCCTAGGCCTCCAAACTCTAGATGGATGCTCTACCAATTTAGCAACCTGGTCGCAGACAATCGATCTAGTGAGTTCTGCTAGCTACGTTAAAAAAGTTGAAATCAAATAGAATTCAATAAAAATAAGGAAATGAACTAGTTGCTAACTTTGAGTGCAAGAAAAACAATAACATAATAATAATAATATATAATAATCTTTAATCTCTAATAATCAGTATAAGGGGGTGCAATATCTCGTGGGGTGCGATACGTGAACAGATAATGTTATAAAAAGTCTAGAACCCAAATATTTATTATCACATTTATGTTCGATACTATATATATATCACATATATTAGCTATTTCACCTAAAAATAGATTATTTTTTTAAAAACAAAAACAACTGTTGTTTTTGGAAGCTTTTGGTGACATGTAGTGAAAGTAAGGTCAGTTTTTCATTTGCTATATATGATATATTCAAGAGCCCGAGCTTAGGTCTGTGGTCTTGACCACTCAGAGGTCTGTCAGTATATGGACCGTATAAACACAGGGGTTCGATACCGATATGGATCACACCCCAACTAAAGGTTTCACACCTTTTATACTCAACGATCACCGTTTACACTAACAGCTGATCAACATTTGTCTTTTTGCACATGTTGTTGGAGGGCACCGGCCAGCATCTTCAGCGTAATAAAAGCGCTTGAAAAAACACGGTAAGACCCTCGGTCGCCATACGTCCAACTGACCAAGACGGGCACCTGTAAATCAAACCGGAAGTTGCCGATTTTCACCTTCGGTAACATCCGGACATATCCGAGGGCAAAACAGGAAGACAACACTGCACAAAAATCTAACCTATCTTATGAGTCACATTGCAAAATGGTAACTAGAAAGGGTGTATTCCGACGTGTAACGAACTGTTAACATATTCAGAAGAATGTAGAAGAAGAATTATTTGTAATCGGTTTGGCATTTGTCCGCAAAAATGTCGAGATTTTTCCGATTCCTTAGCCGCCGTCGGACTGGCAGACGGCAGAAGCTTGGAGAACAAGCACCCATCAAAAAGAAGAATGCTATTACTTGTACGGTTATGTTATTGGATTCTACAGACTTCACACTAGATTTTTCCGTAAGTATTATTTGGATGAGTACGCAATTTATTGCTTGAGTCAAATTTCTTGCAGGTTTTGACGAATGTGACAAATACAGGTGAATCTCGAGCCGCTATGCAGGTGAAAGGAGGGGCAGGTTATTAGACCTGGATTTTATCGCAGTTATGTGATGTCTTTTAAATTTAGATTCTAAATCATATTATTTTTCTTGTTTTTAATACAACCAACCACTTTGTGTCAAAGTATTGCTTATTCTATATGTATAATACAGGTGTTTAGAAGTAAAGATACATTCAATGAACTAATAATACACACCCAAAATTGCTGATCATTGTTCAAATACGTACGCCAGTATCCTATTTAAAAAGTGAGTTTCAAGGAGGCATTCATTTTGTTATCAATATGAAGGCACAGTATCTTTTATGCATTTGGATTCTATTGAATTTCTGGTTCTGTATACTTTTTAATGTTACTTAAAATTGATAATTTGGACTATGGAATTTAATAAACAACAAACCTACCAGCTATATACCATAGTCTGGTTGAATTCACCCACATCAGCTTTCAACCACCCATTTGAGTAAAAAAGAAACCTAATTGTTTGCACATTCAACTAACTATCTTTGAATTTATCCAAGAAATAATTATTTTGTAACAAATAAACCAACAACAAGAAGACCCAAAAACAGCTGGCTAATGAACAGTATAACTGGACTGGGTCAGTCGGTCTAGAGTTCGGAGGGTCCCGGGTTTGAACCCCTGACTGGTTGTTGCATTCCTCTTTCTTCAGTTTTCAGTATTGTTAGCGAATTTGATATAGTGGAGAATTCATTAAGGTTTCAAGGAATTTAAAAAAGAGTTCAGTCCACTAATATATAGGTATGAGTCAATTTTCATGATATTTCACACAAACCATCATTTTCATCTGCTACTTATTAATTGCTGCTGAGTTTGATATGTAACTCTACCTCGACATGCAACTGAAGTTTTGTTTCGTTGTCTAGTTTCTGTGGGACACCAACTGATAATTGATTCTGACATGCCTGTCAGGAAGCATAACAAATTGTACCACTTGGATATGAAGACAGATAATTTTGTTTAGTTACATTAACAGTTCACCTTTAAGATTGACTAATTTTCATTGCATCTATTGTGTGTGTTAAAGCCCCAAATATTACATCAATGATAACGTTTCTTACAACTGCTTTAAACAATAAGGAAGTTTATGAAGGCAAACTGTCGGATATTTTTATTTTGTAATAATATTTTTACAAATGTATGTTGAGCTGATATCCTGATTTCAGCTGTGTACTTGCATATGCTCCAAAATCAAGGTTTTATCCACTATCCAGAGCTGTTATTAGTATACAATGCAATATATATACTGTAAGTTGTTGCCAGAAACAGGAATGTATTTTTAGCTTAAAAGATACTTGAAGTGTTGTTACTACTCCAGATCCATCTCTCTTTGAAATATGGTACACATAACCAGCCCATTTCTATCAAACTATATCTTTGTTATGTTAATTCAGTATCCTTCCTTTTTCATTTGCTGTTATATAAAGAGCACACAAAATGCTTAGTTTTGGATCTTCAAAGACAGAAAGGAAATGAGAAATAAGAATGTTTATTTAATTTCAAAAAGAATTATTTGGATCACATTATGTAGAAGTTGGTCTATATATATTTGACAAATGTGTATATGAGAAAGAAATTTATCTACAATAATTAACAAATTTAGTAGGCAATGTTTGGAGGCACATGAAGATGTTCCACTTTTACATAGATTAAATAAATGTTTATGCATCAAACTTTCAGCAATGTAGAGTATCATTTTTCATAATTTGTAGATAAACTCATTATTTATACCTATGGGGACTAAGTTTCTCTCTCCTTCCCCACCCCCATCAATTTACCAAAAAACTCAGTGATGTTGAAAGATTCAGCTCATTGCTGATAACAACTCTATTCTGTAAAAACACAAAAGATATTGATACCTTCAATTCAGAGCCCCAAAGAATTGATTTACTTGCCTATTTTACTTATCCATTGCATTCGTTCACACTTTTAAGCTGGTGACATTTCATGGTCACGGTTGTTGACACAGTATTAAATTGCTCAGTCGATAACACTTCACTGTGATGAGGGATATGAATAATGTACAGATGTATATACAGATAGATGTATGTTATTGGTTATGGTTTAGAGCTCTACGCTTTAGATGCAGCAGTGTATGTGTATGCCATAGCATTTCAGTATTAATGCAAAATAAAACATGGCCTGAATTATTCATCTTACAAATTTTGATGTTATTTTAATAATAGATTCAATTCTTTCTTTTGAAAATTCCTGGCTACTATAGCAAATAGCAATATCTGGAGATGGTACACATGCTTTTTTTATGGTTGCAATTGAACCTTGAGCATCAATGAATTTATGGCCTTAGACATAGACTTTTTTCAGCCCAATAGACATTGATAAGACTGGCCAAATTATTTGAAGTAGAAAAGTCTACTAAATATGCCCAGAGACAATACATGCAGACTGGTCATCCTATAAAATGTGATGTGTATTGGCAGGTAATGGTGGAATATTACCTCCAGGTTTCTCTTAGTAACTAAAGGATGCTTGGTTGATTGACTTCTAACATTACCTGGACGTCCAGGTAGCGATGTCTGGTACAGGTAAACAGAGACAACGGGGAGAGCAAAAGGTTGGTGTGATTTGAGGTGTCAATCACATCACTGGACCATATACACAGAGTCGTTTGTAAGGAGAGTGTGGGAGGTTGGTACAGTATATTTGTCATTAAATATACTTCTGAAGTGTCCCTGATAGTTGTTTACCATTTGTTTACCAGGCTTTTTTTAATTCCTTTATTACTAGAGTTCGTCCGCGCTGTTAGTTGTAGCCACACGTATACCTGTGTACCACACCTGTGATTAGATGTTTATCATAAGTGTTATATGTCCAGGTGACATAGGTGTAAGCTCCATGTATATACCTATATACTTGTGGTCAGTGTTTCCAGTTGTACTAATACCCATTTAACAGACCTATATAAAAGTATACTTAACAGTATACCTCTATAACCGTTAGTATTATTGTAACAGGTATTATTGTAACAGGTGGCACTTGTGCTCCATTGTGTATTACCTGTACTAGAAATGTACCTGTGGTGTGTTACATACTTACCTGTGTTCTACCTGAGACAATAGGTAGTGATGTACAGGTGACATGACATATACTCGTTAAGGTGTGTTGATACCACACTAGCGACTTCATGGTCCTGCATAAGATGTAAGAGGTTTTGTAATTTGACGTGAAATTTGAGTCTGGTCACCGCAGTACGAATATAATTTAGGAGTGTACTAAAGAAAACAGGTTATTTTATCTGTACTGAAATGGCACTGAATTAAAAGTATCTTGTATGTTTACAAAAATGATCATACATGTATTTAATACAAGCAGTCATTGATAAAATAACTTTTCGTAGCAGTCTAAAGTTAGATAAAAATAGTTTAAAGTACTTGTAATGGTAAATCAAAATTAGAATTATGGGAGTGTGATTTCAGATTCTTCAATATCATAAATTAATTGTCTGCAGACTTTAAAAAATCGAATGAATATGGTAAAGATAAAAATGTGTTATGGAATTTTTCCACTGCAATTAAGCTGATCAGGTATATAAATCATAACAACAGGCCTAGGTGAATCAGTAGTTATCTTCTCTTACATATGGTATACCAAAATTTGGGATTTGCATGTGCAAATTGTTGGATTTGCATGTATGTGTCATTCAAGCAACATTGGAAACTGAGAGTGGACGTACATTTTAAAATGAACATTAAAATTTTAATAGTTGAATAATTCTGTGTTTGTAATGAGTATTATGGTTTAGTAATATACTGTAAATATTTATCAACTGGCAGTGGATTGTAAATGAATGTCAGTCAGCATCAATGTCACTTTCAAATACAGATATATATATATGTGTATTTGTTATTAATTATATTGGATAATATTTATAGGAGACAAAGAATTGTATTTACGACAATATGTCAGTGTTCTTCTTGTCTCTGTATGTAAAGACAGATCTTTTGACAATCAGAGTGTAATTGTAAATATATGTGACAAACAGTGGCATAGCTTACATGTTTGCTTGTTTGCTCAAGCATACACTAAATACACTAATATATTTTTTAATTATGTATTTTTATCAATTTCTTTTGTTTTATGATTAACATCAATCATAAAAAAGGAAATAAATAAAAAATAAAACTTCTTGAAAATTTGAGTCTGATAAAATAGTGTTGTTATGCTATATGTCTATACACATTGACAAATCTTGAAGGTTAATGTAAATCCTTCTTATAAAGTCGTGTTTTTCTTGTTAACAAAAAGTCTAAACAGAGTTCCCGGAATACAAGATATTGCTTCTAGGGCCTATATAGTCAAATTCTTATTTTTTAGAATGCATTAGCACTTAAGTTAACCTTCACCATTAAATATTTGGATAGGTAGAGTAAAAGTAAAAATACATATATATATATATAGATAAATATAAATATTTTCAGATTTTAACAGTGCCTATTTTGTTGTGGCCTAATAGTATGACATATGACCTCTTAATGTTGTAAACTTTCCAGATGTGACAACTACACGTTCCATCTGACTGGAATCCATTGGGTGTTTAAAAATGATTGCCTATATGTCATCACAGCCGTGGTGAAGAGACATTTAAAAGTATGCACCATTATCCATTATATCAATAGGCACTAAAATTCCTGATACTTCATAAATATAAATCTGCAGATCACGAGTAGGCCTTTACCTATCCTCTAAAGGAGATATGGGTTAGACAGGTACTCACTTAATATAAACACACCTGAGATACTTGTAGCATGGAATAACACAACTGTCAGATCAACAGATATCTAAATGTATCCCAGACAAATGTGTGTCATGTATACATCTATTACAGTAGGAATGCATTCATTGATCAGTTTAGTAACCA